CGTCACTCACTCTTGTAATCCATACAGCATGTTAACCTAATTTCTTTATTTTATAACACTTTCCTTTGAGATAAGTAGAATTTATATGCAGTTTATGCTTCTCTCACTATCCTTTTTGTCTACCATATATTTTTGTAAGATACCTAATAATGTTAATAATAATTTTTAGTTGTTTTATTTCATTTTGTTTCTTTTATTTAAGTTATCCATAGTTGATTTCTAACTATTGTCATGTAGAACTTTGATGGAGAAACCAAAAAATCTTGATTATCCTGGGCAGACACATAAACTCTCAAAAATAATATAAACCTTTGTTTCTCTGTGACAGGAGTAGCCTATGATAGACACAAGCTTCTATTGGTGTGGGCAGTTCCTCAACAAAACACAACCAAGAACAAGAATTTAATACAGTCATAACCATTATTGATGAAGAATTTTTGTTGCTATTGAAGTTTCTGAAAGATATAGTTTGCATATAATCGAGTCTTAGCCAGTTTAGATTGCTGCTACAAAATCATATAGACACAATCTGTAGATAGTTTACTTCTTACTATTCTTCTTTTCTTTTGTTTTTTGTTTTTTGAGACAGGGGTTCTCTGTGGCTTTGGAGGCTATCCTGGAACTAGCTCTTGTAGACCAGGCTGGTCTCAAACTCACAGAGATCTGCCTGCCTCTGCCTCCCAAGTGCTGGGATTAAAGGTGTGCGCCACTACCTCCAAGCTTATTTCTCACTATTCTTAAGGCTGGCAAATTCAGTACGTGTTGAGGACCCTCTTTCTCACCCGAGGTGCTGCTGGTTTAAGAAATATCCACCATAGGCTCACATTTTTGAACATTTGTTTCCCTAATTGGTGACATTGTTTGAGGATGTTACAGGGTAGTGCATTCTTGCTGGAGGAAATATGTCACTGGGGGCAGGTTTTGAAAGTTTATAGCCTTGCCTCACTTTCAGTTTACCCTTTTTGCTTCAAGTTTATGACTGAATATGTGATCTGTCAACTTCTTGGTCCAGCTGCCTCCTGACATGCCTCCACTGCCATTATGGACTCTCAATATGCCATACTTCCATCAATTGTCTTGATCACAATACAGTAGCAGAAACATGACTAATACATCTGTGTATTCATCTCTCTCACACAGTGAAGAGAGACCTTAGCCTCTCTTGTCTTATGCAAACTATTGCCCCATCTTGTAAGCCCTACTTTCATGTCTTTCTCCCAGTCACATTACCCACCAAAGGCCCCAAATGTCATCATATTGGGGCTTTTCATTTTAGTACATGAATTTTAAAGGGATGCATACATTCAGTTCAGGTACTCTGTCGGAAATACTTCAGAATTTGTTTCAGAAACAAATAATTGGCAAATTATTTTACTGCCCTATTACTGCTACAACAAATAAAATCAGTCTTCTTGGCATAGTCACATTTTCTATATCCCTTTTGCTATGTCATTTGATAAATTCATAGAATTCATAGACTGTGGAGGTGAGGATGTGGACATTTTGTCAGGATAGAAGGTCTTATTCTGTTTCCCATACTAGCTGCTGGCTCAGTATAGACTAATTCATTTCTGTCAAGTATGCCATTTCCTATATGAGAAATTCCTTGCTTCTTTGAAGTTAATTCTACCTTGATTAAGATTGAAAGATACCATTGATATTGCAATATGCCTAAAGAGTAAATCTGCTCTTGAAGATCAATTATTTATGGGCATTTCAAATAATCTTTTGGCAAAAATAAAAACTGAAAGTAACCAATTCCAAAGAAAAAAGAAATAAGAGCATTTCCATGAACCCAATACATTTAATTTGGAAGAGAATGAATTAATATAGAACCCGGAATTACTATCTTTCTTCACAGGATTAATGGACTAACACATGCCTGGGACCATTTTATTCTGTTGACATTGACTAGTATCTGTTGAGCTCACATGAGAAAAAAGGAAGTGACTAAGATTCTGGCTTACATACACTGTATAATCCTGTTATGGGATTTAAGCAAGTTGTTTTAACTCAAATGAAACATGTGTGAACAATGTTTATATTTTTAAGAATCACATTGCCTAAATGAATTATAAAGCTCATATTTGATGAGAGTTTACCATGTGTCTAACTATAGCTATATGGTCTTTAAAAATATTATTACATTAAATACCCTGGATTGCCTTATGGTTAGAAGAGGAAACTGGGGTTCAGAGAAGTTCATGGTTGGGCCAAAAACAGGAATCCTATGAGTATTGTTTTCCTAACTCCTTCATAAATTTTCTCACACAGAGAATGTTTAATATCCAAAGACTTCAGGCAATCATATAATAAAAAAGTTTGAAATCATGAACAAAAAGCTACATGAAGCCTAAGGTTAGAATTAGTTAGTACTCTGTATTATTATTTGTATCAAAACAGGAAGTTTAAATTTTGAGATAACATTTATACATTAAGGGAAGTTTTAAAGAGTTAAAATATCCAAGGGATATTTTAGACAGACAGCTGATCTGGTCAGATTGGGCACCTCTTGCAGTTATTAACTGTTTCAGTAAAGTTATGGTGGGGCCTTCAATCTTCCCTGATTTCTCAGTCAAGTTTTATTTATCTTTCTCAGTCAAGTTTTATTTGCCTTCAGAGTCTCACCAGCCCTCCTGGGATGGCTGTTCTGATCTGGAGGAACCTGCCACACAACAGAAGAGTACAACAGAATAGGTGGGTGCTTCTGCCCTCCAGTCATCAGAACATAATTCTACCACTAGTTTCTAAAACTTCCCTCAGAAGATTATACTTGTATGGTGTGTGGCAGGCATGGTCATCTGAGCTATGCTGCTCTCCATTCTATATAATTGGGTACCGATTGAGGATTTTTTCCCTGGCTTTTGTTTACCCTATGTCTTTATCATTAAGTAGCTAGTCATAGTTAGTGGTACAATGCTCAATTTGAAAAGTTTAAAAAATGGTTTCATATTTAAATAGTTGTAAGAAGTTGGATGTCACACTGTTTGAAAGACTCATTTGTTTAATCATAGCAGCCTTGATGGAAGTGTTTGGTTGTCAGATGTCTTTTTTGTTGTCTTATTTCCTTATCACCCATTCTTCAGCCTATGATAGGTGCTGGTGGTTCTTGCTTTGACATCCCCATCTCCACATTGACTTGAATCAGACAGATTTAATTGCCAACAAAGATTCTTGGGTCTACATGAGACTGATGGCTGCACTTTGACTTTTCCCAATGCTGACTGAAAAACCATGCACCTACAACAGCCACCTCTAATCCACAAATAGTTCTGCTCTTGTTCCTTGTTCCTAATAAGGTTTCTACCATAAAGTAACTCATCTGCATATTAGAAGGCAGACTGGAGGGAGATTAATTAAATTTTCACATATTTTGTACTGCCACATGTCTGTTCATATTATTTTTGAGACGAGGAACATGGGACAATTCTAGAGAGTTAAAATTTTTGGGATCCCAGCTTCTGGCTTGGAATACAATGTGTCCTGTGAACCTCACGAAAGGACAGAGAAGGTTTAGCATTCTGCTCACAGTTATTTTTCCACATGAAGTAACCCCCCAAGACACTCAGGCACTGAAAGCTTAGTCCTTGGCTGTTAGCATCATTTTGAAAACTTCTCCATGTTGTGGGAATTCGAATCTTGAGGAAGTAGACCACCGTGGGTGTCTTCAGGAGCTATAGCTTCTCCCAGGTTTACTGTGTGTCTCAGTCATGAACTGAGTAGCCTCTGTTGCTTAGTCACAATGGTGCTGTGACTCCCCATAAGCCCCAAAGCATTGGGAGCCAAGGACCATGAAGGACTGAAACCTCGTGAAAAAATGAATTCCACTGGTTAATGTCAGGTATTTTGTCTCAATTACAAAAAGTCGAATACACTTGTTTAGCCTCTTATGTATTACAGAACATCTTGGTTTGTACACTTAATTATTGGCTAAAAGTAAAGTGTGTTTAGTTCCATAGGATAAGCTATATGTTTGTATATGTTTGACAGCTGCTGTGGGGTAAAGCCACAGAGGAAACGTCTGTCTGCATAACTACAATAAACATGATGCCGATCAGCACTGGGCACACACCACACACACACACACACACACACACACACACCACAAGCTAGAGAGCAGACTTCTGGATTAGAACATGTGTACTTGGATCACAACGCCCCCATCCACTACTGGGAGGAGGGCAGCTGTCTCTGCTGCACCTTCCTTAAGACCTCAAATGAAGGATTTGTCACCAGACCAGGGCGGGAAAAGGCACAGTAGCTCCGAGCCCCTCTGAATTCCCTCCGCTTTCTCTGATTGGTTAAGATATGGGAAGAAGCAGCGACCGGCCTCCTGTGGCTCTACTCGTCATTGGCTGTGAAGAGGTGGCAATCAGCGCTGGCCCAGGCTGATGCTCTAGCTACAGCTCTGTGCTGGTCTGGGTGCTGTCGCCGCTGTAGTCGCTGTCTGGGTCTCTTCCGCGATACCCTTGCACTGAGGCTGCTTCCCCGGCTCTGGGCTCAGACACCATGGTGAGTGCTGTCAGGACGGTCACCTAGGCTGGGAGGACCTTAACTGACTCGAGAGAGGATTGCTCTGCAGGAGCAAGCCCAGGGGGCACAGAGCGGAAGGGTGCAGGGAACAGCGCCTTCGGTGGGAGGTGGGGACAAATGATCTGCTGAAGTCCTCCGAGTCTTTGGGTCCCGAATGAGTCCCCAGCGCCCAACCATAGACTTTGGGCGATTCTCGGTTCTGCGGGCGGGTCAGGTAGGAGGCTCCGGGCTCAGGTCCCTTTGCTGTCCCTGTTGCACCATGGTGACAGGTGAGCAAGGGTAAGACGATGGGGGAGGGGAGCGGTCGAGCCGAGATTCCTATGATCCTGAGGATCACCCCCTTTTAAGGTAGGGTACCCCCGAAAGCGCAGCCAGAAGGCAATTGACAGATTAGAGGAGCAGGGTGGGCGACACAGTGGAAAGGAGCAGGTCCCTGAGCGTATTCTCTCCCTGCCCTACAGTACGGATTCGTGAACCATGCCCTGGAGCTGCTGGTGATCCGCAATTATGGTCCCGAGGTGTGGGAAGACATCAAGTAAGTGAACAGCCCTGCTTCCAGGGCCGCGCGTTGGCACCGCGCCCGCGCCTGCTTCCCTAGCTGCTCCCGGCAGGGTCGTGGTGCGCATCCTCCGGTCTCCGCTCCCACGCTCCAGAGCTGGGACCATGAGAGGAGGGTAGGCCGGGGCGTGGCCCCTTGGGGTCACTGTGGCCTCCTCACCCGGCCTGAGCGTGGGAACACCCTGCCAGAGCACTGTGGCTCCCAGGCCAGGTTCGGAGGGTTCCTTAGCTCCCTTGCAGAGGCCTTGGCAAGGTCTTGGGACCAGAGGCAGGAAATGAACAGAAGACTTGAGATCCTCTGAGAGTTACACACCTGGTACACATAATATGCTTCAATTATTTGGGTATGCTACAGTACACTCAGAATTTATTTCCCCAGTAACTCATGTGAAACACGTATTTAATAAGGGGACCTCTCCCCTATAACTCCTCCAAATCACCCTTGTTTTGCTGTGTGCTCTCCTACGAGCCCTAGCAGGGCACCCTAGTTTCTGTAGAGCTTTGAGCCCCCGGTACTCAGAGATGGGACCAGAATACACTTATCTGAGATTTTAATACCCGGGTCACTTCTTAAGCTTTTGTGGGTCTTGCAGGGGTGTTTACTGGGGACTGCAGTCAGAGTCTTGTGCGTGACAGGAAAGCACGATGCCACTAAGCTGACTGACTGACCTTTAGATTTTTGAGACAGGATTTCCCTATATACAACGTGGGCTGCCCTGGAACCGCCAATCTTTCATGCCTCTCCAAGTATTGGCATTAGAGGAATGCATCACCATGCCTGGAGGAACATTACAATCTAACAGAATTATCTTTTCCTCTCTCTCCCTGGTTGAAACTCGCATTTAACTCTTGTATAGCTGAGCATGGCTACAAACTAACAGTACAAAAATCACAGGTAGGCATTACCACATTCCAACTGGATAGGGATAGTGATGAGGACTAAGAAGGGCAGAACGGAACCCGTTTCTATTATTTAAGTTCATGTACTCATTGATGGCACATGAGCCCTTGCTATTTTTCTCAGCACAATTTTATTAGAAATCTATTTCAACAGACTTTATTATTCAGTAATAGGATGGTGATTTTACTATAATTATCTGTTTCCATAGAAATGACCAGGCCTATAATTTAAGCCCTAGAACACAACACTTTCCTCCAGCTCTCTTGGGTATGAACTTTAACTGATGTTCCAGAAGCCTTGCATGTTGTCCACATTTATGTTATTCGCAGGGCACATCTGCACATTATAAAAAAAAAGAGGTCTAGATGACGCAGTTATGACTATCAAATAAAGCTCTAAGAAGTAAGGCCAATTTGAGATCATAATTTTCTTTTGACTTTATTCATTCTTTCATAGTTTTGATTTTCTGTGGTGACAGACTCCAGGACATACACCAAGAAGAAGCCCTGACAGTGAAGCCAACCATGAGGATGTACACTTCCTTTGTGAATGAATGAATGCAACATGCACAACCCTGTGTATTACTAGCCTTACATTCTTAGAAGTGAGGTCCTCAAAGTTCATGACATATAAACTTTAATAATGGATATTTTTATGATTCCAAGAATACAATGATAATCACCATACAAATTTAATAATCACTATGAAAATTTAATAAAACTTAGAATACACATCTGAAAATTATCAATGTGGGTAACCAGGAAATGCAGAGATCAAAAATTTTATGTCATACTGCATAGCAGAATTTACTAACACATTTATTTTTAAATTTAATTATCAAGATATTTGTGTATGGTGTTTATGATCTAAACACACATAAATTCTATTGAGGAGAACTTAACTTTCAAGTGATAGTTACATGTTTCTTTAAGTAATTTGTACACACACATACATACATACACACACACACACACACACACACACACACACACACACACACACACATGGTTCTTGCTATGTAGCTTTGAATGAGTGGAAATTACTATGTAGTTGAGACTGACCTTATTGTAACAACAGTTTCCCTAACTCTGCCTCGCATATGCCTGGACTATAGACTTGGGTACTCACCTTGAAGTACGATATGCTTAAGTTGGTCAAGTAATTCCAATCATCCAAAACACTACTGGTATATATGAACCAGGTCATATGGATGGTTTTCCTCTGAAATTACTGTAAGGCTGGTGCCCTTGTAATAGAGGAATAGAACCAGTGTTGGCAACACAGTTGCTTGTTTTCTCTTTTTAGGAAGGCATCCCTCAGTAGTGTCATGGGAGCACATGTGTATGTACTGGGGAGTCTGACTTGGCTCTCTGTACCTAAGGAACAGAAACTGTTCCTTGCTACCCTGCTGGATTTCCCCAAATGTTGCTGAATGCTTCCTGAATGCATTTGCCTAATCAAATGTTCCTGAATGCATTTGCCTAATCAGCAGATGTTTACTGAGGGTGAAAGAAATGTAACTGCTAAAGGCTATTTCCATGAAGGTGCCTCCTCCCATCCCCTCCCAATCCTGAGCACTCACTGAAGTCATTGTCCAAGATGCTTTCAGTTTTAACTCTGTGGAAAACTGAATGTATGTGAGAACTTTTTATCCTTTTGCCTCTATAAGAATTAAACTTTTCTACCTTCTTTGATCTGTGAAAAACTGTCTAAATGAATATTCATAATGGGTTTTGTAATATTTTGTTTAGTTTGGTAGGAAGTGGACATCCATCCTTTTTGAGAAAGGAAGCCAAAAACTTAATGACAAATAAAACTCCAAGTAACAGATTCCAGACAGAAAATTCTAGATGACTATGTGCAGAAAAATACCTCCTTGGAAACTCAGTGTCCACATCTTATCAACAGCATCACCATTTCACAAGCACTTTGCCTTCTCTCTTCAGGAAAACAAATTGCCCCAGACCAAAGGAAATTTCTTTTAAAGGGACAGACAGAAAAAGATTTGAGCATAGTATCTATGCTCAAGACCAGCTACAGGTTGTTGTGGATGTATTTGTGTAACTACTCAAATGTAGCCATGTAAATGGTTGTGGATGTATCTGTATAACTGCTCAAATGTAGCCGTGCAAACTTCATTGTTATCTTGTGGACCAGGGAACATCCAATATTTTGGATCCAATATCCTCACCCACTTCTGATCTACATAGTAACATAAAGGAGTAAGAGACACGCCCTGCTCCCAAGTCTGCTTCAGATCTTGCTTTGTAAATTTATTTTGAGTTTTCAGATGATCCTCTTAAAGATGCCATGGTTCCTAAGTGATGATAAAAAAATAGTCATCATTCATTTAGAAAATGTAGTCAGACTTTGTGCATATTAAAATATCTTCCAAATGGGTGATATACTGGCATCAGCCCTGGTTAACCTGATAATTGCATCATGTCATTGAACTCTGAGAGTTTCTGCCTACCCTGGCAATTATAGGAATTCTAAAGGTGGATTCAAAATGCTGGAAATTGTAAGATGATTAAAAATCTAATGAAAACAAGTGACAGACGTAGCTGAAAATGTAGCTCAGGGGTAGGATCTGACATAATACAAAACACACACCCTCTCCACAAAACACCTTTCAGAAAAACTGTACTTATTTGCTCACAGGGGAATAGGTCAGAGTATTGATTACCTTGTATCAGATTTTCTGAGAAATTAGAGATAAGCAATTAAATCCAAATGTTGGTATGAAAGCTATAAGTTCCATAATTATGTAATACCATTTTAGTTAACAGATACTGTTGTCAACATGCTGTCAGTTACCTCCCATGTGTTTTGTGTGGCTTTGCTCAAGTTGCTGCATACTTCTTCAGGCTTTGGCTCTTCTTCTCTTTTGTTTATTGTTAAGCTTATCTTTAATGAACATAGTTTAACATTTGAGGCACTGAGGATAGAAAAGCAAATGATGTCATTCTTGCCTTGAAAAAGTCTAGAGATATCAGGATATTTTTAGTCTTAATCATAAAATAACCACTTTCCTGTCTGTCACTCAAATAAGGAAATGGCTTGACTGTTGGATAGCTTGTACTTAGCTTCTAGTTTGAAACCCATATAGTAGTTGAATTTGCTTATTATGAATGAATATTAGGCCCAAACAAGCATTTTTTAAAAAAAATTACATGGATTCTTAACCTGCTTAAAAATTTCCAAGTCTCAGTTACTTAGGAGAAAAGTAATAACTGTTTGGTTGTTGCAGTACATTCAATATTGTCTGAAGACATGCTTAATGTGGTTCTTAAATAGCTGCTGAAGTAATGGAATGCATTGTTTTCCCTTTCACTCTGTTAAGTGGGTTTTTCAGCTTCTTTCTTGGGCAGTACACCTGAAAGATATGAAGCTCCTTTTGAATAGCAGTAGGGTGGGTCTAAGGGTGTGGCTGAATACTAAGAAGCTTGCCTAGCACTTTATACCCAAACAAAATACCAGGAACAATAGTCCATTGTGTCTGCATGCTGTTCCAACCTAAATGTTTCCTCTCACTTTGGTTTAAGTCCTCAACTCATTTCTCATTTCTTTTCTCCTTCATCCTATTCATACACTGGCTGTTCTAATTTGTTTTGTATTATCTCTTGGCCTACCTTTCTTCTTTCCTGTTGATCCTTTATCAGCTTCCCTCGCCTGCCACTTAAACAACCCTCTTGCCAGGGATTCTTCAGGGAGTCTGCCTTGTGCTCATCCTCTGCATGCTGCAGACTGTAGGAAGACAATTATTTCACTATTCCATCTACATTTTCCATTCTTCCATCCACTCCCATGTCCCTAATACATTATGCTGTTTCAAAAGTTTACATATGCTCTTAATACTGATTTTATCAAAGCAAATTAAAGCAAGCAAACTAGGGCATCCTCATAATTTGCCATGCTTCATGGGATTTCCACATTCATGATGGAATGAGTTAAATTTCTACACCTTTCTATTCTTGAGTTCAAGTAGGAAAAAGCCTATGTGTTTTTAAATATGAATGGCACTTCGTATTCTAAAGCTACTTAAACTTTCCAGAGCCGTTTCATCTATATATTTT